AATTATTAAATATAATAATTTATATTTTAGTATAAACACATAAATAATTTTTAATATTTTATTTCTCATAATAAAAATATTGGGTAAAAAAAAAATAACATGAAACTTGGTTTTGATCTGCGGCACAATGAGTACCTAGTGACCAGCACATAGGACATTGCGCCACACCAAACTTTAGTAAAGTTTGTGAAAAACCTGTACATTATTATTTAGTACATTGTTTCCATAATTTTCAAATTCATTCAATAGTAACTAATTCCCTTTTTTATATCTGTTTTATAAAGTAATACCTATTTATTGAACTATTTTATTAACACAATATGATTGATTAGGAATTATTTTTTACTAGAGTAACGGTCTACGGGATGGTTTTTGCATGAAAATGTCAAACTTTTGCAACACATACTTTTATGGAAATATTTACCTATTGTCAAATTTTATGTTATATATTTTTACAGCAATTAAATTTATCAACTAGACTAGATAATTAAATAATACTTAATTACTGTATAAAATAATATTCAAAATTATTTTAACGAATTATTAATGATTAACATATACCTATAAAAAAATGAGAGAGGAAAATATATCGGGGAAAAGAAGATAAAAGTAAAACAAAAATGCTTCTTTGATGGGATTGGAACACGAACATGTATTTTATTGGAACTATTTCATCAATATCGGGGCTTTTGTATGAAAATGTCAGTCTGACTTTTGCCTACGTCATACTAACGAAATATTTATTTTCACATTTTATACTGTTTAATAATAATAATAAAAAAAAGTTGCTTTTTAAAATTATGGCAGAAAAAAAATGAAAATTAGAATAAAATAATAAAAAAACGACTTGAAAAAATGCGAGCTCTAGTGGGATTAGAACTTACAACTTCGAGACACTCGGGTCCCTACCCTAGTACATTACACCAAAGATATTGTTAAAACGAGAGCGAAATTAAAATACTTATTTTAAATGTTCTTTTTTTTACAATTTTAGCGATCTCGGTACGTCAGAACGCTGCACAAAGCAACATAGGTCCATCTAGCAACACGCCTCAGCGTGAACTAAGTTAGTGTGCGTTATTCTATAGCCTTCCCTGTCAATTGCAGTAGGAGTGACAGAAATGTCAATACTTTAAAGTTGCTTGAAAAAAATGACCATATGTGCCATATCACAAAATAAATTATATTAATTATTATAATAACATTATCAAAAATTGGGAATAACCAACTTTTATATCAACCTTTGATACATATTTGTACTCAATATCATTACTCTAATGTATCACATAATTGAGAAACGTGCCTTTCGCAATATTTTTAGATGCTACTTTGGAATTATTTTCTATCGAGTGAAGTTAATACAATCATGTTTCGGTTTCAACCACAAGATCAGAAATACGATCAAGTATAACCACAAATTTTTGGATTACCATAGGTTTCCCGTGAATTAGTACAATCCTAGATCAATTTTATCGATTTGGCACTATTCAGCCTCTTAAGGCGGCTTAGTAGTTTAGCAGGGACGGAAAAGGTTCGATGTGATGCTGATAAACTGTCGACTTAGACGTAACAGTGAATGTTTACGTCTCGAGGCAACTACAAAAGTTTTGTCGCCGTACTATTGTATTGACGTATAACAATGACCTTTGCCGAATTAAACTAACTAGATTTGTGCTTGCAAATACGGCTGCTTGGTTTTCGCGTGGATTATACTTATTCGCGGAGTAGATTATCTATTTATATAATTTACTCCGCGATTGTTGTATGCTGCTGGAGCTGAAGTGCATCTTCGACCGGACATAACTCAAAAATGTACTGCTTTAAAACTGTATGCACTTATATATTGTATATATTATACTATAGCAGCCAAAAAGGACTGAACGCCACATGGCGCATGTCTTTACATACAATTTTTGTTTCTTCGATATTCATTGCTGTTTTTATACACACTTGCCAGTTTTTATTACTTCTAATTTCACCTATTCTTAATACGTATTCAATCTGGCTGTGAAAGTCGAGTTTTGGCATCCGTTTATTCTCTTCTTTTTTGCGTTGTCTATCTGAGGATCTATAAACAAAATTTAAGTAATATTTCACCACATAAATTCATAACCGTGCTTAAATCTGTTTATTTTACTAAATTCAATTTACTGTGGACAACCCTACTACTCGTTGCTGACCGACACTGAGGTTTCAGTTCTAAATAGCACAATTAGGTCTATTAGAACCGCTCGACCAATTGTGTTTATCGTTTAAACACGGGATCGGAGATCGTACTAGAATACTGGTGTTCACCGCATAGGTACAGTACATACTACCACTGTTTTTATAAGTAGCACCAGAGAAAAATGTTAGCGCAGAAGAGAACAAGCTAAGCCCATGATACCAGAAAACCCTTGATAAATATAGATTGTAATGCGTTAAATTAAGGTAAACGCTTGCGACTGTTGATCACGAGTAAACGCAGGACTTAAGGATAGAATTTTCCCCGTTTTATAAAATGATGATTTGCGTAGGTACATTGTTGTAACCTAAAACCATGGTTGTAATTGTTAAGTCTTCGCGGACCATACTAAGAAACTGACTTATGGGAATTTGTTGCCGTACGAGTGCGATATGGGTTGTTGCGTCAGTCATGCCGTGACTAATTACTAGTGTGATGGTACGGTGTATGGTCGCGGGGTCCTCCTAATATCCTCGGCCTCGATTATGTCACCTGCTCAAGGCGCTATAAATAAATATAAATATTAAACAACGTAATATACATTGGACTGATTCTTTTCGCATGTGTCTTGTAAACCGCTGCTTTTTGTATAATACAGCGGTTCTTTTTCAATCAGGGTTAATAAAATAATAGATTTGAACATACCAGGGACTGCCTGATTTGTTTAAATTGGTGTCTCTATAATGTATTATATATTATGGTAATGATTATTACGATATTCAGAGATTCCTGTGACCCATCCCAATATCTCCTGCGACCCGAGTTTAAGAAACGCTAGTATTATATGCAGCAGAGACCAGTAGTTTATTGCGTACATATTTCGAAACTCGGATTAACTCGAGATAGTGCTTTTTGGTCACCTATCCAATAACTGGTGCAAATTGCTTAGCCTTGGCAATCGCAGAGTTAGCACATCACAAGCTATATTCACTGCACTATAAAACTGCTCTAGGATATCGTATTCTATAACTATATTTATGCAACCAATGAAATATTTTCAAGGTCACTCTTCACACGTAGGTAACTTTATAAATATACAATTATATTTAGTTGAATTTTAATACCGCTGTGTCACTTTTGCTTTTATTCGAATTAACTGAGGCGTAACGTACTTTTATAGATGTCCTTCGATACCTATTGATTTTGTGTCCTGATATTTAAAATTATGTTTCTACAAATAGTCATTGGCATTCAAAATGATATGGTATTGAGTGATAGAATAACGTAGTAAGAAGTAATTAAATTTATTACTTACTAGCTTTTGCCCGCGACTTCGTCCGCGTGGTAAAGTTACTTTGAGCAGCATTTCTAACGAATATTTATTAATTATATCGTGTAAAATACCTGAAATAAATTTTCATCCCTTATTTTATCCACTTAGGGGTGGTATTTGTCAAAATCCTTTCTTACCTACATCATAGTAGCTTTTTGCATGCAAAGTCTCAGCCCGATGGGTTTATTACTGACAAAGTTTCGTACAAATTTTCATTCCCTATTTTATCCCTTTGGGGATAGAATTGATCAAATTCCTTTCGTAGCGGATGCCTACGTCATAATATCTACCTGCATGCCATATTTCAGCCCGATCCGTCCAGTGGTTTGGGTGTACGTTGATAGATCCCTATGTTAGTCAGTCACCTTTGAGTTATACGTATTTAAATAACTTGAAATGCATCCGTATACAATATAATAGTTGCTTAGTGTAATATATATATGAGGTTTTACTTCGTCCGTATTAATATACGGATGCATATAACATGTGTTTTTATATATGTTGAACAAATTAATTTGAACTGAATTTAATCGAGAAACTATGTTCTTGTTTGAAGTCGAATGTAATCAAATTGTAGGCTAAACCGTACATCATTATTATAATATTTTTTATTTAATAATGAATGCTACGCACTTCAAATAAACTGAAAAAAAAAAATAAGGGAATAAATTTGTAAATATAAAGTGAAATTTTGAATTTGGCAATCGATTGAGTAATTCGGCTTAATAAATGCGTTCGTGGTTTTTATAATAATAAAACATTTATTACCATATTTGATGCGCTCCACATACGATAAAATGTGACTCGTATATTTATCATCAAGTTAATATTAGATCTTATGTTCAAAATTACAAAATATGCATTGGTTGCCGTTGATGGATGACTAATACATAGGTACTCATTAGCTTACTACATTAGGGCATTGAAATCTGTGAAATAAATGTAATCGATTTGAACTCTTATGTTACGTTAATTTAGTTCATTATCAATTGAATGTCGTGTGAGATATATCTACTTTTTTATCAAATAGTGGTCTTGGAACGTTACATATGTTTATTTCTATTCCCAAAAAAGGTTACATTAATAATTGGATGATTCTTGAATATTCTTGAGCAGATTCATGACTCCTTTGTAACTGCAAGTACTTTTTTATGATTTAAGATAATAAAAAAAAAACAAATGAATATGGTATATTGATTTATCATTTACTTCTTAGTAAAATTTGTTTATTTTTTAGTTATTTTGTAGTTAGCTCCTTTGCGAACTCTTACATATGATAATACATTTAATAAATAACTTTGATTACGTTAATAGTAGCAAGCAAACTGGTAGGTGTATTGACAAAATCAGTTTTTAACCTTCCGGTACAGTGGCGATGTCATAAGTAGCAACGTGTTTATAGAAATCTATTTGTTTCTTCATCGCTGATGTTGTGTAGAGAAACATAGAAAGCGATAAATGTGAATATGATTTACGTTAACGGATACGATATGTTGTCTACAGGTGATTGGTAGAGGTGCGTTCGGTGAGGTGCGCCTTGTCCAGAAAAAGGACACCGGTCATGTGTACGCTATGAAGATCCTCAGGAAAGCTGATATGCTGGAGAAAGAACAGGTATGTATGACATAGTATCGTAACATAACACAGTATTTATTAATTTTTATGACCGTCGTAACGTATGAATATTTTAGATAATCAGGTAAATAATACGTTTTAAGCATGCTCAAGCGCAGTTTTGTTTTTTAATTATCTAGGTGGCACACGTAAGGGCTGAGCGTGACATCCTTGTCGAAGCGGACCACCAGTGGGTGGTGAAGATGTATTACAGCTTTCAAGACCCCATGAACCTGTACCTAATCATGGAGTTCCTCCCCGGAGGTGATATGATGACTCTACTCATGAAGAGGGACACGCTCAGCGAGGAGTGTGCTCAGTTTTACGTAGCGGAGACAGCTCTCGCTATCGACAGTATACACAAACTGGGTTTCATACATAGGTACGTATATATATTTATATATTAATAAGTAATTTGCTGAATAATAAGTAGAGATAGGTGAGGTTTTTTATAATGTAGGAGAAATGCATTTTAAGCCACTCCAAACAGGCTGTCCTGCCCTGCGATTCTAAAAAATAAATCAGGTCCACAAGAATCAATGAAAAATTACGACACAAATTTTTCATTAATTCTTGTGGACCATTTTTTAAAGTTACAAAATGTAAAATTCGTAAAAAAGGTTTTCCATTCTTTAATTTTTATTACCAAGACTGCTACCAGAGCAAGCTGAGACCATGTATGCTAGAAATTTTAACGAATGTTCTCGTGGCGTACATTCTCAGAGACATAAAACCGGACAATTTGCTCCTCGACGCTCGTGGACACATCAAGTTGAGTGATTTCGGTCTTTGCACGGGCCTCAAGAAGAGCCATCGCACTGACTTCTACCGTGATCTATCCCGAGCCACCGCCTCTGACTTCAGTGAGTACAAAATCTACCCTGTTAAGTTTTAAGTGAAATTAAACTATTTGCTAATTTCTGCTAAAATATTGGACAAGTTGTTTATGAAAAATATTTAACAACTCAAAGTTGCTGTTTCTTTACGATTAAATACATGGGGTTGAATTTCTAGAATACTCATCATGAATAAAAAGTTACCGTCTCAAGTCTAGTATTCATATTTTTGTTCTTGTTTTATCGAGATTTTGTAAGTTTCATAGCTCGTAGAATAATGGAATAATTCTTGTAAATGAATTTTACCAGAACTTGGTAGCATATTGAAATATATTTTCATGAAAAAAAAACGTGCATAATAAAATATCTAATATAAAATTTGTTAGTTTGGGTGGTTGGGAATGTCAGTTATATAATAGTTGCTGTAAAAAGGTGAGACGACTTTACAGACGTTCTACTCACTCCAGTTTCTACGTCATCGTCCGCCATGGACTCGAAGCGGCGTGCTGAATCCTGGAAGAGGAACAGACGGGCGCTCGCTTACTCTACGGTCGGCACACCGGACTATATAGCGCCCGAGGTGTTCCTACAGACCGGGTATGGACCGCAAGCCGACTGGTGGAGTCTAGGCGTTATCATGTGAGTATTTAAGTCCATTTTTCAATACACCGTATATCAAATATAGACAAAATATGTCGTTTGTTAATATATAAGTAGAATGGTACTTTTAGCAACAAAATAATTATCAAGTTTTAATCGAACTCGTATCAAGCAACCATACATCTTTATTGATTTTACGTTTGTGCAACGGCTCCGTAAGTTCCAACTAATATTTCGTGTGGTAAATCTTCGTTTATGACATACCAATTCCGACAATGACGGAACCTACGAATGAAATTTATATAGGTCTTACTTACATTTAGTGCTTCAAAATTTAGCCTTCTGCGCAAGTACATCAAGGAGCAACATCATTCGGATCGTACTGCACCTTTTTAGTAAAAGATTTTAAATTAAAAAAAAACCCGCTTCAGATTGGGTGTCTGCAAGTGAAGTTTCCGATTAAGAATCAGTTTAAGGTAATATAGGAGCTTAGTTACATACAGTTTTTTAATGTCTATTCGATATAAATTCAAAGTTCCATATTCGGGTATTCAACTATGAAGACTTAACTATATGCAACATTTATTTTTATTATGATTGTATTATTTATACACTATTCTTGCTTTGGTTTGCAAACTGATTTTTACACTTTCCAAAAAACTCTGTGTCATATTAGTACTCCGAGTAGTACCACGGATACTATAGTTATATTAACTGGTACCTATTTAAAAGTGTCCTAATGTTTAATAATATGGTTATAGTTATTTTCAAACGATTATAGCACATAATTCGTTATAAATAAGGAATAGAGTGACACGAAAAATTATTATTTTGTCTTCTTATTTGCAAAAGCGAATTATTACTAGTGAGCAATAGCGATTTTTATGACATCGTTAATTAATGTACTGCACAGCTGATATATTTATTTATTTTCTGTTAATAAACTGGACATACTCTTTTATTCAATACCATTTTATATTAGTGTTAAGCTTATCAGCTTCAACAGTTTAAATTCTTTATTATTTGCCAAGCGATGTTATCTACTATTTTTATTTTAGCTGTGCATTTATTTTTAATATGTATAACATTGTACAAATATATTTTTTTATTATGCTTGTATTTTTGTTTTTGTTTAGAGTAAAAGAAAATTATGTATGACGCGTTTGTAAAACAAGTTGCGAATTGTATATTTTTATATAATTGTTGGCTTTCAAAAAATAATTTTTATTTTATATTTGATATTATTTTATATTTAATTATTATATTTGATATTTCGATCGTCGTTTTGGCCGCTAAGCGCTATGTTCATTTTGAGACTGACGACAAAATTTGCACTAGATTTTTGACCCGCCGTGTCCTTCGTTAATTTTCATGCACTTTAAAGTAGATATTAAATGATTATCATCATCGTTAAGCCTATTAATGTCCCTTCAAATAAGACATGACACCAAACAACCCAGTGGGTGTGGCAACGTGCCTTATGAAGCACAGATTCCTCTGTGTCATCATCATCATCATCATCATCATCATCATCATCATCATCATCATCCATTACCAGCCCTTTTACGTCCCTACTGCAGGGGCTCAGGCCTTCCTTACGGATGGTTAAGGAGGATGGGCCATGACACTCCACGCTGGCCCAATGCGGATTGGAGGATATTAATGACTGCAAATGCAGCCGGGACCAACGGCTTAACGTGCCTTCCGAAGCACGGAGTAGCTCGAGATAATAATTTTTGGTCACCCATCCCGTGACCGACCTTTGCGAAACTTGCTTAACGACAACGATCGCGGGCTGCCGTGCTTATCCACTACACCACCGAGACCCTCTGTGTAAATATATCCTTATAATAAATTTTAGGTTACCATTCTTTTACCGACCCTTACGATAGTTGCTTAATCTCATGCATAGCAGACCGAATGCGCTGTCCTGGAGGGTGTGTTGCTACTCCCACTATCCGTTCCCCCCTTTGGCGCACGTTGGCACAGTCGCAGACTCTAAAGTGCTTCTCATTTATGTCTTTGGGCTAAATTGAAGTCAAGAATGAGCCCATTATAAAAAAATTACAAAATAATTACTAATTTTGTATTACTCTACTTAAAAGTAAATGAACAATATGTACAAGGCTCGGTCAATTTGATTTTTATAATAATTATTATCAAATTGCTTTCTTATATAGGGCATTTTTCATAATGATCGGATATTATGTATAATGCTCCAATTATCACTTGGTCAGTAACATATACAAGTCTTGGTTTTCACATATTTACTGAATCAGAAAGTTTAAAAATGAGGTACTGTTGATAAAAATACACATGATATTTCAAATTGAACGATTCGATCGGTCGTCTGTTGCAGGTACGAAATGCTCATTGGCTATCCGCCGTTCTGCTCGGAATCGCCACAGGAGACGTACCGTAAGGTGATGTCGTGGAGGGAATCTCTCACTTTTCCTCCAGAGATACCGATCAGTGAGGAAGCCAGGGAGACCATACTGCGTTTCTGTTCAGAGCCGGATCGCAGGTAAGAATATTTCTTTCTCATAATAACTACAAGGTTTACTTTGAATTGAAATAATGATAAAAAAGCATGATTGCCAATGTGGAATTAAAGAATAAAAGAAAGAAGTTGTTTATGGCATGGATAAACATAATTCTCATATTGTGACACTTATTTCGACCAGGTTTTCAGTATATCGCCTAGTTAGTTTGGCATGTCTTTCTCTTTGAACTTTGTTTGACTCTTGAGATTTGTACTACTAAGACTATTTTTTGTATTCCTTCTCTACCAGTGACTAAGTATCCTTGGTCGTATTTAAGCTGATGTATCTCGTAGCGACCTTCAGATACATTAGCTTTACACAAATCAAATCCTTTGTTTTTTCAATAACTTTTTTGAACAAATCTTTGTTTGAAATTATAGACGACTTTTTTTAACTTGTTACGACTGTATATAAGTCATGTATTTCAAACTCGCTGTAACTGATGCCAACCTCATCGGCTAATTCTCGCCTTTTGCTAAAGTTGTCTTTGAATTATCGCTTAGATTTCCTTAGTACAGCGTTTACTTTAGCGTTCTCTAGACTTAGCCACATTTTGTCAACGTTTTGATCACTAAGCTCTGGCTCTACACTCAAGAAACATGCAAATTGCTTTCAGTATCTATCGTCCAGGCTATCCAAGCATTAGTATAGCATTTTTAGATGTCAGCTTCAAAGTTTCACTTGTGCTCTTTGGTTGCTAACAGGGGCCTGTATTTTTTTATACAGATCCCTGATGTATCATTATTTTTTAATTCCTCCCTGTTCTACTACTTGTCTGTACATGTCTTCATGTTACGATGTACATGTCTTCTTGCCAAGAATATAATTGATTTCACTCTTCATGTAAATAAATTTCAGTGTAAATTTATTAAACTGCAATTTATTACAAATAAAAGTGTATTGGAAATGTTTAGGGCAATGCTGAATTTTTAAAGTAGCAAATTATACTGTAAACTATTTTGCGGCCATTCCATTATCTTAATTCGTATTACTAAGACTAAAATTTACATTAGCAAAATTTGACATTAGCATAAAAAAGGCACGCAGAGTTTTAGACACTATTTCTTTGTCTGCATTACAGTATTTCGTTGCAGGATTTTAGTTTTGAATGTTTGTATTCTATCTATTAGGTTAGGTTCCCAACGTGGCATAGAAGACGTGAAGTCAGTACCGTTCTTCCGCGGTGTTGACTGGAGTCATGTTCGTGAACGTCCCGCCGCCATTTCTGTGGAGGTTCGCTCTATAGATGACACGTCCAACTTTGACGACTTCCCCGACGTCAAATTGGAGATACGTGAGTATTTTACCACAATATAAAAGTTTATATAAGAAGTTTACACAAAGCATAAAAGGCAGTAAGTAAAATGCCTATGGGCAGTGGCGTTACTAAAACGTTTGAGGCCCGTTGCAAAATTATCGGATATTAAATTTATTTACTAATTGCGTAATAATAAATGTCTGGTATAAGGAGTCTCCTCTGACCGGAGGCCTCTTCCAGCTGAGGGGCCGTCGCATTTTGCCGACTTGCCACTCTGGAGTTACGCCATTGCCTATGGAATTGCAATAAAATCTTCTTTTGTATAGACATTTATTTAGTCTTCCACATTGGAATATAATGCCACTCCAGCGGATTTTTTTTAACAATAATTAAAATAATACAAGATTGATAAAGTGTGTCAATATAACCGCCGTATCGTATAAAAATTGATATGTACTAAAGTAAGTAGAACCGTTTAAATAAAATTTTAAAACTCCTTATACAAAACCTAAGTTCCCTTTAAAAAGATAAAAATAATAAAATTACCTATATATGTCATCAATATTCTCTTTCAGTGTGCTTTCATGACCCCACTCGAGTATATTTGGAGACATTCGGTTATGCTTCCCCACTTACAGCCCCCACAACTTTTAAACAGCTCAACCGATTTTCATCAAACATGTCTAAGAACACTCGCACATAAGTAACTTTTAATACAAAAAAATAAAAACTTAATTGAAATCGCATCATCCGTTCGGGAGCTATGATGCTACAAACAGACAGACAGGCACACAAAAGGAAACGTCAAACTTGTGAAACCCTCTTTTTGCGTCGGCGGTTAATGAATTATTGTTACATGTACTAACAGTTTGTATTGTTACAGCAGCGGCACCAATATCACAAGAAGGAGAAGTGGCTTATAAGGATTGGGTGTTCATCAATTATACGTTTAAACGTTTCGAGGGACTAACACAACGTGGCACTCCCACTAAGAAATGAGCAAAACCCCATGACGAACATGAAGTGAAATACAACCTTGAGACGACGCGACAAAACTTATTTCAGCTTAACACTCAATATCATACTCACACAGGCAGACAAGCAACTCGTAAATTGATAGCAATATCGACGCTATGACAATACTGTGAAATACCTTTCAGCTTGTTACATATAAGTTTGCCTTATTGTAAACGTGTTTTGTAACTCGCATTACGCTTGAAATTCTCAATACTGAATGTCAATGTGGTCGATGTTAAATCACCGTTGTAATAAAGACTACTGCATGATTATGAAAATTTTAAAATTGTACTTCGTTATTTTAAGCTGTTACGTCAAAAGACGATGATGTGCTGTCCAACATTTCACATAATTTCTTTTCATCGTGCAGTGACACAAATATCATTTTCAAAACTCACACCCAATGGGTACATAATGCAAAATGTGCATCAGCGTACAACCGAATATTGACTTAACATTAATCACAGACATAAGACAGATATGAATAACACGATGCTGTTCAGTTTTTTCTTATCATTAAAATATATATGTTAGAAGATTTTCTAATGAACACTAGTTGCATTGTCACCTGGCCGAGCTCTGTTGCCAAACTCGAATGATACTTGCATCTTATCAGTACGTTAGTAAACACTACAAAGATGCATTTACATAATTAACTGAGATGCCATAAAATAGTACTTTCATATACAAACTATGATTACTAGATGTTACTGATCTCTACGTTTACACAAAGCGGATTCAAAATTTAGAATTTATAGTTAATTTATTGTTTTTGTCAGTTTTATATTGGACGCCGATTTAGGTCTCTAAAATCAAAGAGCTTCGTTCACAATGATAAAAATTCATTAATAATCTACATATTTGTTTCTAACGTCTTTGTACAGTATAAATTTTTAGTGGAGTGAGGGCTATCATTTTTGATATTACCATTAATGTTGTATCATTCTAACGCTGTCGTGTCACGTGCTGTATAGTTTTAACAAATAATGCCTTGTTATAAACATATACCTAAGCATTTTCTGTTTATTAATGATTTTCAATACACTGAGTCGTGTATTTGCGATCAACTTTCACAACAATTGTAAAATTGATAGTGAAAAATGATGTTTTTAATGACAATTGAATAACACTTGGAAATTCTAACACCTGACAAATGTGACCCTTGGAGCTTAAGTTTCTTAGTGTCTATGTATTTTTAATTATGGATATATTTATTTTCGAAAACGTCTAAAACGGAAGCTATAGTATTCGGTCATTATTACATCCATATTTGTCCATTTTGCGTAGATTATTCACTTGCTTTTGTTCTTTCTTTTTCATATTTTGTATCCACCCAGACCCAGTTGGTTATTATTGTGTATGTATACTGTTGTAAATTCTATATACTTGCGCCTCGTACTCGTTAATTTTTTAATCGTGGTTACCATCATCGCAATGCAATATGATTTCATAGGAATTGTTATTATTTATTGTGAAATTATTTATTTTTCCAATTAACATAATAGTAAAATAAGGTATTATCTTCAAAATTATAGTTGTTAATATTTATATAATTTTTATAGGAGTATGGCAACATAGACAAATGGTGGTAAAGGGATATAATGGATTTCAGAAAAAGTCATGGTCGGGCAAATATTTCTGATGACAAAAAAATACACTTCGATCAAAAATTTACGTTTACAAATTCAAAGTACTTTATTATTTCATTACCATTTAAATTTCGGTAGCATGCATCCAACCCGGTCAATCTCAGGAACCGTTGGAATTACTGATATGTATATATACATTTGACTTTCGTGAGTATTGAAATTAGTGTTTACAACTGACTGACAATTTTTTTCAGATAAAACTAGTTGTTACCAAAATTCACTATCGCATACAAAGCGAGCAATGTACACGAATGCAATGTATTCATTTTTGTCAATATTTGACTATTATTATGTATTGAATATGGTGACGGCCAATGAGACAGATAGACCGAAAAACAGAATGTATTTTTTTAACCATCAATATAAATTTAATTGTTCTTTGTCTATCTCTATCTGTCAGATTGAATTATTGAGATCAGCCATAAATGTCGTCTGAAGGTTATTTATTGTTTGTCGTTCGGACGGGGTATTGTGAAGTGTTATAGTTGGTTCTGTTATTTTTTCTCTTTCTTTTTTTAGTATGGATTTAAATTGCTAAGTGATAACATAGGATTTTGATAAAAAAGTAAAAAAAAAAATCATGACATTACTTTTACAAAGTCAGCTCGCAAAGATTTCGATAAATCGTTATAGATGAGGACTGATTACATTGGATCTTTCATAAATTTTCTAACGTTCTGTCCTCTTTCTTTGACTTTTATATCCGATGCTTGTTTATGGAAACTAAATATTGTTTTCCATTAAATTTAACAAGTAATTCGAATTTGTAGTATATGTACCTACTTGCATATAGTGAAAACACGCAGAATTTGAAATCAACCAATACTGAGATATTCGTAGGTGCAAATAGAATTTACGTGATTCTTAATTAAATTTGACCACTTGCACTTTGGTGTCTCCGCAGCATCGTAGGCTTACGTCACTTAAGACCGACAGGTGGCGCCAACAGATTTTATTTTTTTATAAAATCATGATAAATATTTTTAATAAGAACTGACGGAGCTGTAAAGATGGAACTTTATATGAAACCAAGGCAAATTTATAATTATAGCTCGTTTCGTTTCGAGTAGTATTTTATTGAAAATAAGGTTGATTTTACATCTTTAACTAATAACATAGTTTTGCCGCCATACTTGTTTCTGCATACACCATGGCTGGACTTTTTTGTTTACTGGAAATTGTGTTTTATACTGCATCCTTAAAATAGTATATTTTTTCTAAGAACGGCTGATGTTCCGGTACTTTATATTCTATTCAATCCCAGGGTTATCTTTTTGTAAGACAGTCTAACTTATGAATATTTATTTTAATGACAACCTAAAAAAAGCTAGAGATACAGCAATCAGAATTATATATTGGTAATTTATTATATTTTGATTTAAAAAAGAACTATAGAATTGAGATTCTATCAATATAAATAAAATGTGCGTTAGTCTGTCGCAGTAATACCATGCTTAACATACATAATTTCTATATGAATTAAATTTACTATTCATGTAGAATTGTGAATATTTGCACGTAACAAAAACTGTACGTTGCGGTTTATATCATTGTGGTACTGCCATAGAACATCCTCGGTCGCCGTACCACACGATGTTTCTCACCAAGCAGATAGTTTGCAGGTTATGTTTGTGTTAAAAAAATACATTAATCGCACGTTCATTCACAATTTAACATTTTAAAATTTTATGAACTGTATGCTTGGCAAAAAATACCGTGTGGTGTACCACATGTGCGGCTGGGCTCTGTGGCAGTATCACAATGATTTTTATTTTCACTGAAAAATACAACATACAATTTGTTAGTATACGTACAATTATGTACAATTTAGGTACATTCATAGCAGGTACTTTGGAATTATGTACATTCATAGCAGGTACTTTGGAATTATGTACATTCATAGCAGGTACTTTGGAATTATGCGTGTTAAGAGTACTGCAACAAAGTATCACACAGTAAATTGCCTTTGGATTCAATTAATAAAAAACTGCATTTGCTATTAGTTAAAACCCTTCGTAGGTGGATCCCAGGCACAAAATTTCTTTGTATACGTACGATCACTATTTTTAATATTATTATAATATTAAGTCATTTGCTGTCTGATGTAAACGTCAAATATGTTTTCTTTAATTTAATGATAGTACATACAGGACGCGTGTCATATAATACTCATCATCTTTAATTATAATTGCTGATAAATATCTAAATAAATATATTTTCTTAAAAATACAAAAATAAGAGTCACGAACAAAGTATCTATAAAAATATTGTATGTAAATATAAAATTACACATAGTTTTTCACAGTTCAGTATATTTAACATAGTACGTGTAGAAGAACACACTCACCACAATTCTTGTGAAATTAATTTTGTGTAGCACATTTTTATATTAGTTTCGAGCAGGTACTTTGGAATAGTGTTCCATTTTGATTGTTAAAACAAACATCCATATTGAGGCATTTTAATACGAATGAGATCACTATGGACCGCTGTTATTTCTCGATGTCTTCTTCAGTATGAAATAAAAATAACTTTCAAATAATTGTATTAACAAATAAACTTGTTATGACTTTACCAATGGAACATTTTGTAACTATGGCGTTATTGTAAGAACTGCGAATTGATAATTAGTTATAACTGTTTTATTGTATTAGTGCAATCATAATCATAACAAATTGTTATGGTTATTTTTCGCGTTTTGTTAACATGTATTCTCTATAGTGATATTACGTCTGTGATTTGGTGTTACGTTACATTCGGAAGCGCTTGAATTTCACTACACTTACATAACTTTTATTGTTTTTTAAAATTTTATTTTCATATATGAAAAATAGGTAAAACTAAGCCATACTTCGCCATGACTTAGTATAGGTTCCCGGTAGTTAAGAATAAAATACGAAACTGAAATAACGTCATTGTTTAAGAATAACCAGAAAATAAAGTCTGTATATACACAAGATGGGACTCTTCACTTATATCTTGTATATACTGTTTATTTCCTAAAGTAATTTATTAGTTTGTTTAATCTATGATACTTCAGTTACTAGTACACGCCCAGCAAACATGGCGGCATTAAGACAACAATCCACAAGTAAACTAGTATCCATGTTTAAAAAAATACAACGAGATAGATTATTACATACCTACTTGGATATGTATGAAGGTCAAAATATTTACGTGATGCTATAAGCAATTGCTTTTACCTATTTGCTTAAAAGCTAATCTGCTATTGTTGGTAAGAAATGGGTCTCAGATCTGAGTCGTTGTCAAGTGCTCGAGGAAGTACAATTTTAAATATTTTTCTAAACTACGAGGGAACATGAATATAACAATAATAATGAAACGGTTTCCAATTTTGCAGAATTTTATACACATAAAATATAATAGATGCATATATAAAATTAAGGCTATATCAGATACTGTTCAATTTAAATATAAATTATTCCGTCCAAATTATGTTACTATTTATGCTGGAGATTAATTTAAAAATTTATTTATCACCTTGATTATATCTTTAGATACCAACTATTTACAAATTATTCTTAGTTAATAGCACTATGCACGACTATAAATGATCATTCATCTTTGCTTAGTTGTGATTCAAGCGTTTCTGATTGCTTTATTTATACCAAATATTAATGAAATCGAATATTTGTGTAAATTGCAACAAACTTTTTAATATTGTTACATCCACTTCTAAACCCTTAAGTGTAGGTTCATTTTTCAAACAAACTTTATTTACTTAACTTAATTTCTGTCTGCCTGCCCCGCAAATGATCCAGATACATAAATGCTTCTATAATAGTGATGCAACGGAAGCTACTTAACGGAAGCAGAAACAGAACCAGAAGTCAAAATAAAATTTATTCAGAACCAGAAACGGATGTAGAAAGGGCCGATTCCTCCTTGTTTGATTATTGGATCGCATCCAATAAACAAACAAGCCGTGATTCGTAATGTGCCGTTTAAACTTTCGTTATAAATGCTGCGGAACCAGAAACAGAAAAGGATGTTAGAAATCCGACATCCTGATGACACGCGGAACTTCTGTAGTTGCGGAATCAGAAGCATAAGTCTGTTGCATCACTATTCTACTAGATAGAGATCTATCTGATATACAGAATTTAAGATATTATACACAATTAGAAACAAAGGTGCACATAGCTGTACGTCAGACTTCCCCAATCTATCAAATTCTCGCAATTTATTTTATATTCTTCCCTTAATGTAATAAAGTTTTTAGAATGAAGAAATATGACGGTTTTATATAACTTACCGTGTTGTTGACTACTAATTTGTATACATAGTCAACGACACTGCTTCACTGGAACGGGCGATAATTTTATACAAGAACAAGCTCTGTATGACGACAGATATGTTTCGCTATTCTTTAAAAAATAAGAATAGAGGTTCAATGTAATAAAACCGATCTCAACAGGTAATAAAGGTATTGCGTTGAACCTCTACTGGTATGACAGTGCTGTGCTCGAAGTCGAGTTAACAGAATAAAGCGGCTTTAAAATTATAAAGTAGTTATCCGTGACACTAGTTTTTATCCGTGGAACGTCTTTTCTGTAGTCAAAAGAGTGACTTTTGTGTTTTTAAATTTAATATGTTCTGTTACCGATTGCGTTGACATTTTATGTCGCGAGTTTGCGACATATCATATATGATGGCGATGTAAAATATACAACTATAGTATCTTTAATCCACAGTTGCATAAATGTTGCTTAAAGTTGTCATTAGTGTAAAGCGAGATTACGATACAAATTTTCAAATATTAATAAGTAGAACATTCGTTAGAGCTTAAAGTTGTCATAACACCTTTATGGGCGTTTGTGCAACTGGGTGTATGTGGTATAAATGACTAATTAACATTGATAATGATTTGTTATATCAATGGTCGGCGGCAGGTTCTCGACTAGAGGTCGCATTACATACGATTAGAAATTTTTAAATGGCAGTATGTTATATGTACTAAGGAGATAAATTTCTAAGTTGAACTTTACTAAAAAGCAAATAGAACCGCTTAATTATAAAGTCTATTTTGACATTTGAGCGTCAAATATTAAAATGAATTATTATTCAGGCTAGACAGTACGGGCACATAAACAAGCGCCAGTAGAATTTAACTGGCTAGGTTTATTGCTATCTCCCAGTATTTTCTGTTACTCTATCCCATAGCAACGTTGTCTCGTGGAGTGAGAGACCATGTATATTACGCACGCAGGCGTTTCTGATTTCGAGAGATGCTCGACCGACGATATAAGATATCGCGTTCTATAATAATATGATATATATGCGAAGAAAGACGAAAGAGTGACAGAAACACTGAAGTAGTCTATTAGATACGGCTAGCCAGTTAATTGTGTAAATGAGGAGACACCTATTGAATCTAGTGGACAAGGAAGTGTTTATATAATTTTCACATACCTACTTTGCACCTTATGTTAATGTGATAAGTGCGTTTTTCGGTAGTGTTCCGGTGCTGACCGTATGCCGCCGCTCGGTCGCAGTCTGCGGTTTTCTTGCCGGTAGCTTAAGTACAAAGTCCTCGTA